GCAAGCTCCCACGATGTCCTGGTTCTTCGCCCACGAGCTGCCCAAGGTCCACGCGGCGTCGAAGCTCCTCGCGTCCCTCGACACGCAGAACGTCGACATGAAGGACGAGTGGTTCTACTAGCAAGGGCGGCGTAATTCCGCGACTAACATTTAACGTTCAGCGTCCGCCCCCAGCCGCCGGAGCCCTGGATCGCGCACTGCGTGAGCTTCCCCTTGTCCGCGCGCGCCTTGATCTGGCAGACCTGCTTGCCGCGGTTCGCGACCTTCGTCTCGCCGCTCATGAGCTTGAAGGGGTTGCCCTGCCGCCGGAACGACGCGGCGAAGGACACGGACACGCTCCCCGCCGCGGGGCTCCCGGCGCCGAGCACGTTCTCGACCTTTTGCAGCGAGCCGAGCGCGTCCTTGACGGAGCCGTCTCTCGCGATGGCCTTCTTCGCCAGCTCGATGACCTGCTTCGCCTCGGCCGGCGTGCAGGTGGCCTGGAGCGCGTGGCTCCGCGGCCGCAAAGTCGTGGGCGCTTGGAATGTCACAGCCTGCAGCAGGCACAGCGCGCCGACGATCAGGAGCATCATCGTTCTCGTTGCGACTGCTGCCGGCGGGAACCGACCGGTGCTGTTGCTGATGCTCAGGGAGAGCTCTAGAAGCGGCGGCGACTGCTGCCGGTGGGAACCGACCGGTGCTGTTGCTGATGCTCAGGGAGAGCTCTAACAGCGGCGGCGACTGCTGCCGGCGGGAACTGACCGGTGCTCTGCGTTGCCGATGCGCTCAGGGAGCGCGGCGCATAAGATCGTAGGAGCTCGATTGCAACTTGAATACAACATTAACCACGTTGCCCCGGGCTGCAAGCTGCCACGACCGAGCTTGGCAGCTCCAGAAACCACACTCACTTCGTCCGTCGTCGAAGAAGATGGTCGAGACGCGCGCCGCGCGGCAGCGCAAGCCGACAAAAACGGAAGAAGAAGAGGAAAAGGACCCGCCGCCGCCGGAAGAAACACCAAAAGACACGAAGCCGAAGAAGAAGAAGCCCAAGGACGACGACGACGACGAGGACGAGGAGCGCAAGGAGCAGAAGCGCCGCGCCGCGGAGACGAAGCGGCGGCTCACGCGCGTCGTGCCGGCGAAGAAGAAGGCCGGATCCGGCGCGAACTGGTTCGGGACCTGCGCGCTGACGACGGTCTACGGCGCGTTCGGTTTCTTGCTCCTCGGGAAGAAGCTCGGCGACCCGCGTTCAGCGACTGGGCGAGCCCCGGGCCGGGCCAGCTGCTCCTCGGCGACGCCGGGCGCCTGGCCTGGTTCGAGTTCGGGCCCGAGGGCGTGTCGTCGAAGATGCTGGGCTGCCCCGCGTGGCTTTTGGAGGCCGCGTTCCTCGCGCTGGGCTGCGCGGGCGTCGTACTGACGTGGTCCACGAAGCCGGACCACATCGAGGCGAGCGCCTACCTGGTCTCCTGCGAGGGCATCTACTACCTGACGGCCTGCGTCTACTACGTGCTCCTGGGGCTGCCG